CACCCTGGTTGCCGCTGTCACCCGCCGTGCCCTTTACCCAGCCAGAACCCCTTGCGGGAGGCGGCTCGGAGGCGGGAGGAGCCCCGAATGGCGAGGGAATGGGCGCCCCCACCCCGCGCGGAACAAACGCCGTTTTCTGTAATCGCCCCGTAATAATCCGTGGTCCTTGTGTCCGCGACTCGGGCGCCCTCTTTCCAGACGCACAACCGTTGACAGCGTTCAGGGTTAGCGATGTTACTCGGGTTTCATAGAAACGATTCGGTATTGGAGCTGGAGTGCAAAAAACGATGATTCCTCTCAGAGAAATTCAGACTGGGGCGGGGGGCGATGCCCCCTCAGAAAGATCCCCCCCGCCCCAACAATCCCGCCTCGTGGTTCAATCCCGTGAAAATGCAGCACAACGGTTCGCGCAAGGCTCAAAACACACCAAGGTCACACGCCACCCTCGCTGGGCCTCCCGCCCGGTTTAAGGTTTTGTTTTTCCGGTGCAAATCGGGGCTCCGAATATGGCAGCATTTACCTCAGGACGAAATTCCCAGGGTTAGGAAAAATGGAAACCGGAAACAGCAAGAGGGGCGTGGGGGCGCGGAGGGACGGTTCCTGGAGATGGCAGGGAAGGGGTGGAAGTACGAACACATGACGGGCCTTGTAAACCAGCTCCTGTTCACAACAACGACAGCTGAACAGCAAATAGGGCGGTTTCACTTTCCCTCGGTTACAATTTCTCTATTTCTGCTCACAGGAACCCACGGAGGAGCAAGCAGGCCCCGCTTGGCCTCGCTTACCAGGCCTTGTGCAGCTGCTGGCCCCAGCAAGCTTTCGTCTGAAATAATGGTGGACACAGAAGACACACACACACACACACAAACAACTGCGTCCTCTGCGCAGGGCGGGTTGTTGGTAAGGCTGATGATGCCCCTTGCTTGCTGAAAAGTGAGGACTAGGTCACTTGCCGATGAAGATCAAGGATTATGAGTCAGGGCCAAGAAAACCGAAATGCTCACCGCTGGACCAACAGGTGACCTCATGATCAATGGAGAAAAGGTCAGCATGGTCAAGGATGGTGTCGTGCTTGGCTCTGAAATCAATCCGCGTGGAAGCAGCAGGCCAGATCCAAGGATGCACTGCCTGGGGTGAGTCGGCTCCAGGAGGCCTCTCTAATGTATTGAAAAGCAAGGATGTGGCGCTGATGACTAAGATGCCTCTAGCCTGAGGGGAGCCACAGTGGCTTCAGTCTCCTGGCTTGCATGTGAAAGTGGGGTGCCGGCAGCATAAGGAAGAACTATGAAGAATCGTGCCTTTGATTCGTGGTGCTGGAGAGGGATCCTGAAAAAAGCTGCGGAGGGGCAAACAGATCTGTCTTGGAAGAAGTAAGGCCCGAGTGCTCCTTAGAGGCAAGGGCGGCGAGAGTCTGCCTTCACATACTTAGGACGCATTGTCAGGAACTGTCGGTCCCCGGAGAAGGACATCATGCTTGGTAAGCAGAGGGGCAGAGTGCAGAAGAGGCAGGCCCTCGGCGAGGTGGATGGACACGGGAACCACTGTGAAGGTGACACCAGACTGGGCAGTGCTTTCTTCTGTTGTTCAAAGGGTCGCGATGCATCAGAACTGGCTGGATGGCACCTAACGCCACCAACAAAAACCACTGCCCTGAAGGCGGCATCCCCAACCTTAGACCACCCGCTTCCCCCCCAGGTCTTCTTACAAGCCAAACACGCCCGAGGGCTTCCTTGGTGAAGACTATCAGCCGTAGCACTGTGTTCTTCTGTTATCTCCGGGAGCAGAGTGACAAGCTCGGTGTAAGTGGCCCGGCGGAAGCTGGGGAAAGTGAGTGTGTTTTGTCGGGGAAAACCACTGGGGAGGAGGGTGGGAATGGTGTGCAACTTGAAGAAGGTCATCATCATCGATGGCCCCGAATAGGCTGTGTTCTGCCATGTCTGTTCTCAACCACAGAATGCAACACGTGGTTTAAGGGAAAAGAAAAAAAAAAAGAGGAGGCGGAAAAATGAGCTGACACAAGGGCTCAAGTGGAAAGCGGGTGTTGTAAGAAGGATGCAGTCAACATACGTACTAATGTGCTGGACACAAATGACGTAGGTACAGATTGTGATGAGTTGTATGAGCCCCTAATAAAATGATTATTTAATTAAAAAAAAAGAAATGTACGTGAACTTTTGTAAAAATGGGAGTTGGAAAGGGGTGCTCGTGACAACAGCCGTGGACAGGACAGGGGGGAGCAGTCTTTCCTCAAGAGAGCGGACGACTGCCTCTCTGGACCACCCTTCTTAATGTAAGGGCAGTGGTGTCAGGGCCGGGGCTGAGAGGACGATGTTCACCTGTGGTGCTCCCTGCCCTGGGGGGACAAACCACGACACACAGCCCCCCGTGGCAGGCTGAAACCTGCACTGAGAAGTTCTCTGGCCAGAAATGCTTGTGTGCTGTGCGCTCTAGATTACCAAGACTTCCGTTTTCAGGGATTGGGGCAATCACTCATTTCCATGTGGAAATCGGGACTAGTAGTTCTCAGTGGTGGACGGCTGTCCTGGGCATGTGTGGCTTCTGACAGAGTCCCTGGTCTCCACCCACTGGATGCCAACAGCACCCCCTCTGTCCCCCGAGTCATGACACCCAGCATTGTCTTCAACCAGGGTCCAGGGTCCCCTGGGGGCAAAAAAGGTGCCAGGTGCCAGTCCCTGAGCCCCTCTGACCTTCAAGAGACTCCACTTCCCATAATTCTCTGACCTCCTGCTGTCCTAGGATGAAGCCCACATTGAAATCCACACACTGAGTGGAGAGAAAGAGGGGGAGATGCCAGGGGCTAGAGGCTCCCTTCTGAGGCGCCCTGTGGTGTAGTAGGTTACATACAGGGCGGCTAACCCAAAAGTCCGCAGTTCAAACCCACTCACGGATCCACAGGAGAAAGGTTACCTGCTCCTGTAAGGAGGTAGCCTGGGAAACCAGAGTTGTCCAGCTCTGTCCTATAGGATAACTATGAGTCTGAATTTACCCCCCAATAGTTCCACTTTTTTTGGTTCAGAGGGTCCCCTGGTTTACACCATCTCACCCATCAGGATTTTATTCTGGGACACGAGGTGATCCATTCAATGTTTCCTCAATCAGAGAAGGATCTCTCCCCTCTGGGCACTGCTGACACCAAGCCGGGCCTTTCTCTAAGGTGGCTGCGTCCTGGGCCCTGTGTGTGTGGTGGGAGGCGGGGGAATGTCTAGCAGCATCCCTGGCCTCCAACCACTGGACTCCAAACTGTGCCCCCCCCCAATCTCTTCAAGTACAGCCAAATGTCTGTGGGGGGAAATTCCATTCCCACCCCCTCCCACCCGACCCCCACCCCCACCCCCGTGGGGACGCCCCGTCTCCAGGAAAGAA